TCGCTCAACTGTATCATTCCAATAATTGTGGAACAGAACCCTGGATAGACCTGGGCCGCTGTCAGTTTTGGACATATTTTGAAATACATATTGCTCTGATCAATAGAGTAAAGTTTTTGTACAACTTTGAAACTGGCTATTCCTTGAGGAGTTAAATATCGTATTTCATAAATGTATTAAGGACGGACTTAAAGAGATGGCAATAGTCATATAAGCAATATATCTTAGAATTTTCGTGCATATAAAAGGGATTCAGAAATTTTTAACAAATTGAAAAGTGAAGAATTTGCAGGCCCTTGATCGCAGACTAAAGTCTTTACGTTTAGATCAATTGACTTTAGTCCTGCAATTATTCAAAATTTCTTCAAATTTTGTTGTAGAAAGCCCTTTATGGAAACACATATTTCCAATGTGAACTTAACCCTTTTATCATAAAAAAACAAAACTTATTACCTAAAGTCATTTCACGATGGCCTTCCCCATAATCCATAAACCCATCAATTGCATCTCTAGCTCTATTATAAGTTAGGTCGGACGTTCTCGTTATTTCGTCAAATAACAGAACACAATTTCGTTCTAAACCAGACATTTTTTTGGAAATTTTTTCTAAATTTCCCATGACATTGGCATCGAAACCAAGGACAACATACCTAATGGGGCGCCATCGCAAAAGGGAGCTCTTGCTTGGTAAAGCGAAACCTAAATCGTCACGCATAAAACTACAAGATTTGTTGGACATGTAATTAATAATTTGTGCCAATGTCCTTTCCTCATCACTTAAAACAGTGCGCTTCGTGACGATCATCCTAGCGAATGTTTTAGCATCAGAGCTTGAAGATACATCCGCAATTATTGTACTTTTTCTTAGATCTTGATATTTCGTTTCTAAATCTCTAATGACCTCCTCTAACTCTTCGATCTTTCTATTCAATTTAAGCGCATAACTTTACAATAACGTGCTGATCGAGCAAATCGTTCGAGGCTATTAATGCACAGCCCTCTTTGTTACTTTGTGGTTCTAATCCTACTCTATTATCCTCTAAAATGGAATATGTTTCGAATTCCCTCAAATTTATGTCGTCCTCTTCTTCTTTACTTAGACAACTACAACTAGAGTCAGCACTAGATGAGCTACGACTTAGTGCTGGCTCTAATCTCAAACAGGGAAAAGCCCCAGACAAAAGTATTTACTTAGTGACGTACTGCGAATCAAAATGATTTCGGCTAATAAAAAGGGTATCGGAAGGCGACACGACTAAGTTGCAAGCCTTTGTCCAACTCTGACGAACATCTTTCTCTCTTGGGAATTAAAAAGCGTTATCGCTCTCTTAACGCGGCTGCTAATGCATCTTCTAATCGGCATTTAGACCATCCACAAATGCTTAGGGGGTTCATCGTATCCTAATTACATATATAAAAAATGTTTTAATTAACTCCCCATATGTGTGTGTATAATTCAATTAAAATAAAAAAAATGTTATCTTATTTATATAAATAATATAATATAATTTAGTAGAGAAAAATATATATAAATAATAATAATATTGCATCCATACTAATAATATATCATAAATTGTTCACACATCCGTAATGGTATTAAAAAAGAAAACAAAAAACACATCGAATACGTGTAAGACGTGTCGTCGATAATTATATAAATCAATTATATATAGGTTTACTCTACCCCCGTAATACATATCACATAACATCACCCGGAACAAAAGCTGACGCACCCTAATACTTCCTACCACACCCGGGAGCACCACTCATAACCACACCATACACATATATCACCACACATGATGACACGTCAAACCATAAACTAACTTATACAACGTATAGAGCTTATACATACATATATTAAATTATACACTGGTCATAGCCCGGGAAATTATTTAATTTTTACTCAAGTTACAGCTTGCACGGACGGACGGATAGACAGTCATCCGGATTTCAACTCGTCTCTTCATCCTGATCATTTATATATATATATAACTCTATATCTAACTCGATTAGTTTTAGGTGATACAAACAACCGTTAGGTGAACAAAACTATCATACTCTGTAGCAACATGTTGCGAGAGTAAAAAAATAACTCATGTAACTTTTAAATTAAAATGAAGAACACTCACCAAGGTGGAGGGTGAGCACAGCATGTGCCTTCAACTTCTTCACACCCACTGCACTTCGTTCGAAGTGCTTAATGCAAACGAATGCACTGTGGGTGGGTAAATCCTGCGTTGGTGGGATCTGCAAATTTTCCACCCACTTCTGGAAGTCCCTCTCGTTCCTGGGGAAAGAAAAGAATCTTCCGGAAGATTCTGTTGTGCACTCCCGAACGCGACACTTTCTAACATTTTTATTAGCCATTTTATTTTAAATAAAACTAAAGAGCGCAAAATCGAATTGGCGAACGAATGAAACTTTTCGCGACGAAATTCTTTAAGAACTAAAATTCCTTTGACCATTTCTTCTTCAACTTTCTATTTTGGCGCAATTTCCACAGTAAAAGATATATTAGAATTAGAAAAAAAAATAATTACTTGCATATAGTACATAAGAACTTTTTAAATCAAAACAGAATTCCCTCTTTAACTTTCAATTTGGCGCAATTTCCACAGTAAAATATACATATGTGTATTAGACTTAGAAAAAATCTAACTACAATACTTACATCTGGTATACATGAACTTTTCCAACCAACCATAAAACACCAGTATATAAATATATATATATGTATATATTAGCTTGATAAAACATACATACATATGTGTATTAGACTTAGAAAAAATCTAACTTTCCCCAGTAAAAGATATGCGCATATGTGTATTAGACTTAGCTAAAATCTAAGTACTTGCATATAGTACACAAGAAGTTTTCAAATAAAAAAGCAGAATTCCCTTATAACTTATAATTTGGCGCAATAAAACATATGTGCATTAGACTTAGAAACAAATCTATCTACTAGCATATAGTATGCATGAACTTTTCCAACCAACCAAAAACACCGTCATATAAATAAATATGTTTTTATGTATATATTAGCTTTGTCCTGCATTGATTTTATACATTAACATTTTATTTCTCTTGCTGTTAAATATCCTCTGTGGTGAAACACGCTCATCGTTTTCAGCACCCCTTTCAAAAATGGTGAAACACGCTTATCGTTTTCAGTTCCCCTTTCAAAAGTGAAATATTTTGCTAATGGCCTAATGGTATTTTACATTCTCTGATACGTCTATATTTGGAAACAGTTATTTAACCGGTGAAATACTCTTGCAACTTACAAGGATTAAAGCCGAGCAAATACTCTTAGGTGTTGGTAAACTTTATAATAAATAAGAAAAAACCTTAACTTCGGCTGCGAGGAAGCTGATCGGTCAGTTGAGTGACAGCTTCGGATCTTTTAGCGATACATTGAATAATAATCTATTCAAAATTTCCTGAAGTTCATTTGTCGAATAAAAAAGTAAGACTTGAGTTCGATAAGTCAATTTGTATGACAGCAAATACTTCTTCGGAGATTGCAAAATTGCCTTAGAAAATAATCTATACCAAAAATCTTGAAAATATTTCGTCAAATTAGAAAGCAATCCATTCAAGCACTTGATTCCGAAAGTGTAGTTTATATAATATAACAGCTATATGCTATAGTGGTTCCGACAAATAAGTAGCATCTTGGTGAGAAAAGAACGTGTGCAAATTTTCTGACCGATATCTCAAAAACCGAGGGACTCGTTTGCATAGATACAGGAGGACAGACGGACTAATTATATAAATATTATATATACTTTGTAGGGCCTCTGATGTTTTCTTTTGGGTGTTACAAATTTAGTGGCAAACTTAATATACCCTGTTCAGGGTATAAAAATGTTGCGAAAGAATTTCACATTCCTTATTCGACGAAATCGTTAATGGATTACAATCAAATTTGGTGTCTTATTAACTTATATTGATCATATATATATATATATATATATATATTATATATAGGTTATATACTCATTTAGTTTTATTACTATAATTTACATCGCGTCAACGAAAATTATATAATATTAAAGTCATATATAGGTGATATAAACTCAACGCTAAATTTATTAAATTGAGTTGATATCAATTTCATTAAAAGATCACAGATTATGACCAACCTGAATGGTTTCAAGACAGGTGGAAAGTCAGACATCAGGGTATATCCGGTGAAGAAAAAGGTCTAGGCTGATTACACTAACTTTTGACTTTGCTCAGGTATACTCGGGAACATCTTTTCAAGCAATTTATAAATATATAACTCACATACTGTTAGACATATTCAGTATATGGTTTCTTAGAATAAAGAATGTCATTATAAATATTTAGTATATAGGAGTCGGGTAGTTTGTAGATAAATATTCTTCCGATTCAACTCATTTTTGACATACAAGTATATACTATGTTCGCACCGACACAAAATTCGTGTTTTCATAGACAAAAGAGGTTTTCACGCGAAAACTTGTGTGTTCGTCCATACAAAATCTGTCAAACGAAAACACAGTTTTCGCTGAAAACCCCTTGAAAACTTACATTCCACCATTCCATCCATGATGGGTTCACCAATACACTTACATTTGATATGTCAGTACTGTTAATTTACATTTGCATTTTTAAATTCAGAACTATCCACTTATTGGAGAAAGCTGCAGAGCTATTGAGAGGAAGAGATGGCATCACGTGAAAATTTATTTTTATAATTTCATATATTATTATATTTTTTGTTGCATTCCTTTTTATATTTAAGTATATTATTATAACTAATTTTGATTAAAAGTTTGAAATTTTTTAAAGATATAAAAATTATATTATCTACTGCGCAAAAGAACATAGTATTAGTGAAATGGTTGCGAGTCTCCACAACAAAAGTCTCCGCCTACAAACAGGCTCATATATTGATCGAGATCGCACATTCTTTATGTACATATATATCGATATATATCATCGATATTCGATATTACTTTGTCATTGCTGACTTTGAATACACATTTGGGAAGTAGAACTCACATGCTGGCACAGTAACATAAATATGAACGAAAGTATGAAGTTGTTTGAAGAAATAGTAGGAAGCCAGTTTCCTAATTTATTTCTGGATTCATTGGAAGAGTATCCTGACATTGACCTAAAGGTATTTAAGTCTGTGTGTTGATGTAATGGTTAATCTGGGGTTACTTTGTATTTCATTGTTAAATAGGTAAATGTATAGTTTAGGTCCCCCAACTAAGGAAGCTTAAAAAATGATTTTTTTTGTATTCGTCTTATTTTGACGCAAATATCACAAATCCGTGAACGGAAAGTGAATTTTTTCAACATTTCCTTTTTTTTTTTTTAAAGAAAAACGTTCTTTAAAATTTTTTTAACACATATGCATTAAAAACCCAGGTGTTGGACCAACCAGGGTAATTCTTTTGAAGGGCGGGAGAAGGCCGCCAGTGTGGAAAGTAGTTCGACGTTTTCCGATATTCGTCCATACCATCAGATCGCGGCACTAGAGAAATTGTTTTACTGTTACATTTCTTCAGTATTTTTTTTCACAACAAAATGTTTAACACGCGGAACTGGTAATTAGAGCTAAGTGATCTGAATTCTGCAGAATTTTGGGGCTAATAAAAAAAAACAACTAAGTGACTTGAAAAATATGTGCGCAGTTCGTTAAATATATTTGTAAATATATACATAATATTCAAAAAATTTACTTTTCGCTAACGAATTTGTAATATTCGCGTCAAAATAGGACGATTTAAAAAAAAAATTAATTTTTGAGGCCTCCTTAGTTGGGGGATCTAAACTATACATTTACCACGTGAAAGAACATGTGCGAAGTGTGTAATTTTTTGTAAAAATTCATTTATTTTAAATTAAAAAAAAATAGAATTATAGAAAAAATAAACTTTCCGCTCACGGATTTGTAATCTTCGTAGATTATGTTAAATAATGAATTTTTTAGTTAATGGGATGTGTATAATAAGTGCATAATGTAAAAGAAAAGATAACCATAAATCAAGAAATTGTAAAATGAAATTTGTGAAATTTTCAACGTAAAATGCAAATATCTCGAAAACTATAAGTTTCCGGCGGCAATAATTATATATATTCGTGATCTGGATAATTCCTCTATCCAACCATACCCCTCTTAACACTGAAATCGTGGGATGCTAAACTAAAGCCCACCCTTCGGGAAAACTTTAGTATAACCAGAGAACGTAAATGAATAGAGAAGGAGCAAATGTTAGCAGTACTAAAATGTTAATTACGATGGAGGAACATCGAAAACGCGCAAATTGGAAAATAAAATTTCACCACAACTATCAGGGTACGAAACGAACTCCACCACTCTATAAGCAAAATGTATACACATACATATGCACAGATGTTCTTTGATATGCGCATAAACAAAACTTAAAATAATAAAAAGGAAAATAATTGACTTATGAAAAGAAAATATAAGTAATGAGGGAAATAATATAAAAATAGAACTAAAATATCATTTAATAAAAAAGAGTTATAAAAATAAAAAAAGAGTATATAAAAATATGTGATAGGATATGAACTTAGGCAAAATATTTTACATTGCCATAAAGAAGTGTGCTATACAAGCAGCACCACAGACGATATTCGAGCAATTTTGTCTAATCTGTAAACTGAAACAGCTATTGTTGTTTACTTGCTTCAATGTTCATATGTCTATATGTGAATATTCTTGAAATTGTCTTCCTTCATTCGCATGTCCAAATATATTTGCATATATATACACATATGTACATATTATGTCCCTCAATATGTCTTTCGCAAAAAATCAAACACTCGCGCAAGTGACAAAAAAAACGTAGACGCACCATCATCGGCCAATAATATTCAAGCGAACTCGCGGCATATTTTCTAAGTATTTTATATTACAACGACAACAAATTCATTCATAAGGAACGTGCGCTGCTTCAAAGCAAAGTGCGTTCGTTCATAACTCTGCGCCGCGCTATTTTTTCTGTGCGCCTGGTAAACCACATTTGGTTTTCATATAGAATTGCTACCGCAAATGCGCGAAAATAAAAATGAATGAAATTGAATTTGAATGTCTTCAGTAAAATTGAAGAATCAGTAAAATTTCAATTTTACAATTTGTATCACTGAAAATCCTACCATCCCCCTCGCGTTTGTATGTTGCCCACAAGCTGCTTCCTTACAACATTTGCTAAAAATCAGAAATTTAAGAATTTGTCTGATGTTCACTACAGAAAGGAGAATTGGCAACATGACCTCTTAGGAATTTGAATTATTATTTTAATTTTTTTTTATATTATGCACTATTTATGGCATTAAATTACAAAATTTATATAAAATTGCCATTCATATGAAATCATCAACTACTTCTATATATTCTAAGCACAGTCCATATAGTACTTTTATATGTTTACTTATTATCATTATTTCATAGTTTGTCGATTTAGCCCATTTTATCCAAATACGACGCTATGAAAATGCAGCCCAAACGGTAATCGCAATATTTCAAAAGAGCATAAGTCAATTTTCAACAGCAAAGCCCTGCAAAAAGGACAAACGAGACAACATAGCCGATCGACATTGTCGTAAAATTGTTGATTGAAACAAATTTTGTCAACTCCGCCACGATGCGCAAAATTCGGCGTCAATATGTATGTGAGCTCATATGTATATATGTATGTTTGTCGACAAAATCGTCATTTGGTTACTTTCAACAACACAATGTCTGCGCGAACTCGCCGTTATTTCGTTGGCTTGCCACTATACACAGAGGCGTTCTAACTGAGGACTCTTAGTATATTATTATGTTGCTTATTTTGTATTGAAAAATACTAATGCATTTATGAATTATTTTCGTAATATAATATATATTATATATATATATATGAATACACATATATTCATGCCTATAATCGTTTTTAAACTAAATTCGATATATAAAATATATATCTGAAATAATTATGTGGCAGTGCGCCCCAACCCCTCGCAGGCAATCGTTCAACTCGCAAAAAGCAAAATGTGTGGACTAAAGTCATTGCTTGTGCGGGGCAAGAAGAAGCAAGCATCAGCGTACGTGTACTTATGAATGTATGTGTGATTATCACATTTGTGTAAATACGCATAAATAAAGGAATATGCAATAAACCCAAACATATGAACATATTTTCCTGAAATATTTTAATTATCTCAGGAAGTTAAATATGCTATTAAAGTAATTGAATTATGATATGCTTAGATTCCAATTAATAAAATAAAAATTAAATAAAATTTCAGTTTCATGAGTTTTAGGATTCGAACGTGTAGGTTCGTATTCGGATTGTGCTTAACCCCTTCCCGCTTACGACCTCAGCCACCTCAAAAGTGGAAATGTGGCCGCTTAGCCACCGTTTTATTGTTATCCTTTGTTTAATAAGCAATTGCTCACATAACGCACATACATAAGTTGGAAAAATAGCCTATTAAATGTTTATTTTATTATGAAATCTGGGGTTTTTACCGGTAATACAGATTTTTAATTCAGAAGGCTTTTCATAATTATAAATTTGTCATATCATAGAAATTGAAAACATAAATCTAAATAGGTATGCGCAACGATTTTTCATATAGGAATATTCGTTGTGTCTATTTATAGCATTTCGCATATTGTGTGGTGTATTTTTCTTTTTCGAAGTTATATTTTTCGATGTTCCCTCATCTGGAACTACAAATTAGTACTCAAAAAGTTTTCAGTTAACATTTGCTCCTTCTCTATTCATTTACGTTCTCTGGTATAACGTCCCACGCTTTCGGGGATAAAATGGGTATGGGCGGATAGAGGAGATCCTCCAGATCAAGAATATTTATAGATATAGCCGCGGGAAACTTATAGTTTTCGAGATATTTGGGTTTAAAGTTCAAAATTTCGACTATTTAAAGTACGCATTTTTCCCATTTCGAATGAGTTATACACTTATATTTTCCACTTTTATATCCACTAACACTTCACTAATTCGTTTGTACACATTTATTTTACATTATTTAGTGCAAAAATAGTTTAATTCAATAAATAAATTATTGTTAAATTCTATTAATTCTGACAATAACAAAAGGGTTGCAAAATTTCAAATAACCAGTGTTACCTTATCGACATCTTTTGTAATTGAACTGAAAGAAATTAAAACAGATAATACCCCAAATACAGGAATCCAAAACCTAGAGAAATAAACTATTACAAAGCATTGATGTTAAGTATTATGTTATACCCTCTATGACAATATTACTTTTTTCTTGTAGAACTTCTTTTGGCGTTGGCGGCCTTCGGCCGCACTTTAAAAAAATAATCTTGGTCGGTCCAACACCGGGGTGTATCAAGGTTTTTTTGCGCAGAACTTATTTTTGCGTTGGAGGCCTTCGGCCGCGCTTTAAAAAAATAACCCTGGTCGGTCCAACACCGGGGTGTATCAAAATATTTTTCGCGCAGAACTTCTTTTTGCGTTGGCGGCCTTCGGCCGCGCTTTAAAAAAATAACCCTGGTCGGTCCAACACCGGGGTGTATCAAGGTTTTTTTGCGCAGAACTCCTTTTTGCGTTGGCGACCTTCGGCCGCGCTTCAAAAAAATAACCCTGGTCGATCCAACACCGGGGTGTATCAAGGTTTTTTTGCGCAGAACATATTTTTGCGTTGTTTCCTGTATCTAGGGTACAACCTCTCTGTTTATTTTATTTTTCTTCGTTTACAAAATATATTAGTATGGCAACACTGATGTTTTGACATTCACAACCATTTTGTTATTGTCAAAATTAATAAAATTGAAGAATGATTTAAATATTGAAATTAAGCTATTTTGCAGCATCTAATATAAAAAAAATTTCAAAAACGAATTAGTCAAGTGTTAGTGGATATAAAAGTGAAAAATATAAGTGTATAATTCATTTTAAATCGCAAAAGTACGTACTTTAAATAGTTGAAATTTTCAACTTTAAACGTAAATATCTCGAAAACTATAAGTTTCCCGCGGCTATATCTATATATATTCTTGATCTGGAGGATCTCCTCTATCCGCCCATACCCATTTTATCCACGAAAGCGTGGGACGTTATTCTAAAGCCGACCCAAAGATAGGATAAAATATTTGGTTCAACGGTATTTTTG